ACTTAAGCCCTTAATATCGGATCCTCATTTTTCCCCCTCCCTCCCCGCTCCCTCCTCCCTTATGACCCTTGATAATTTATAAATTATTATTTTTGTCATGTCTTACACTGTCTGATGTCTTCCTTCACCCACTTTTCTGTTGTCTGTCCCCCAAGGAGAGGGTTATATGTAGATCCTTGTAATCGGTTCCCTGAAAATAGCTTTTTATACCCCATTTCAACTGCATTAACACTGCTCTGGAAGAAAGATGTCCCCTTGAGCTAAAGCTGTCTGAATAGCAGGGCTTTAGAGGCAGGCTCCCCAAAAACTATTCATAAAGAAACCCCTTGGTAGAAGGGGTGTTTCCTTACCCCAGGAAGGGGAAGCATGACCAGAGGCTTGGGAGTATAAAACTACACTTCTGAGAGCTGACTTTTCACCAGATCATGACAAAGTAAATTTTCCTCTGTATAAGTATCAGTCACTGCTGGCACTAAAGTTCCCATAGCTCAGGGCAGTGTTTAAATTGTGACTGGAGATGTGGATCTCTTACATGTTGCTGGTGATACTGTTAATTGGCATACCGATTTGAGTTTTAATTTGACAGTTTTTAAAGTTTTAAATGTTCTAAATTGAGTTAACTTAGTCCACTTTTTGAAATTATAAGGAAATCCATGTGTGGAAAAATTTTTAATGTACAAAGATATTCTTCATAAAGTTTATATTAGCAGACGATTGAAAATAACAGAAATAATAAAAAATTACAATGATTAAATGTATTTTGGTATAACTCAGAAAAACTCATTCACTGCCATTGAGTCAATTCTGACTCGATACCAACCCCATATGACAGGGTAGAACTGCATTTTTTTCCCCCCCTGAGTCTGTAAATTTTTACAGGGGCAGAAAACCTCATCTATCTCCCACAGAGCAGGTGGTAGCTTCAAAGTCATAATCCAGTGCACTACCAGAAGGGTTCCTTGGTATAAGTACTCATTAAGATTTATATATCAAATTTTTTTAATGCTTGAGAGAATGTGAAATAACAGAGAAATATCTAGAATATAGTATTCAGGGGGGAAATTATAGACTTTTATTTAAAAGGTAATAAAATGTTTAAAAACCTACAAAGAAATACCAACACGCTACAGTGGTTTTATATGCCCTAACACCCCTCCCCCCCCAAATATACACACACACATTTATTTATTTATTTTTAAACCAGGATTACTCAACCTCAACATGGTGAACATTTTGGGCCTAACAACCAAAAATGTCTACAATTATGTCCCCTTTTGGGTGGTGCTGGTGGGGTAATTCCCCAATTGATAATAACTATTGTAAAGCAGCAGTTCTCAAAGTATGAATTATACCATCAAGGTTGCACCAGACCCTTGAGGGAAAAGGGTAGAAGGTCAAAAACTATCTTCATGTTAATACTATGATGCTATTAGCTATTTTATTTTTCAACAGTTTTATTGGCATATAATTCACATATCATACAATTCAGTAGTTCAGTCAAATCAAGAAGAGTTGGAGAATCGTTAACACAATCAGTTTTAGAACATTGTCTTCATTCTTTTATTTTTTAAATCATTTTATTGGGGGCTTGTACAATTCTTACCACAATCCATCCATCCATCCATTGTGTCAAGCACATATGTACATTTGTTGCCATCATCATTCTCAAAACATTTGCCTTCTACTTAAGCCCTTAATATCGGATCCTCATTTTTCCCCCTTCCTCCCCATTCCTCCCTCCCTCATGAACCCTTCATAATTAATAAATTATTATTATTTTGTCATATGTTACACTGTCCAACGTCTCCCCCCGCCCTCTTCTCTGCTGTCCATCCCCCAGGGAGGACGCTATATCTAGATTCTTGTAATCGGTTTCCACTTTCCACCCCACATTCCCTCCACCCTTCAGGCATTGCCACTCTCACCACTGCTCCTGATGGGGTTATCTGTCATGGATTCCCTGTGTTTCCAGTTGCTATCTGTACCAATATACATCCTCTGGTCTAACCAGATTTGTAAGGTAGAATTGGGATCATGATAGTGGGGGGGAGGAAGCATTTAAGAACGAGAGGAAAGTAATATGTTTCATTGTTGCTACCCTGCACCCTGATTGGCTCATCTCCTCCCCACAACCCTTCAGTAAGGGGGTGTCCATTTGCCTACCGATAGACTTTAGTCTCTACTCTGCACTCACCCTCATTTATAATGATATGATTTTTTTGTTCTTTGATACTTCATACTCCGTCCCTTTGACAGCTCATGGTCACACAGGCTGGTGTGCTTCTTCCATGTGGTCTTTGTTGCTTCTGAGCTAGATGGCCACTTGTTTATCTTCAAGCCTTTAAGACTCCAGGCACTATATCTTTTGATAGCTGGGCACCATCAGCTTTCTTTACCACATTTGCTTATGCACAGGTTTGTCTTCAGTGATCATAACGGGAAGGTGGGCATCCACTGATGATTTTTAGTTCTTTGATGTCTGATAACTGGTCCCTTCTACACCTCGTGGTCAGACAGGCTGGTGTGCTTCTTCCATGTGGGCTTTGTTGCTTCTGAGCTAGATGGCCGCTTGTTTATTTTCAAGCCTTTAAGACCCCAGATGCTATATCTTTTGATAGCCGGGCACCATCAGCTTTCTTCACCACATTCGCTTATGCCCACATTTTTCTTCAGCAATCGTGTCGGGAAGGTGTGCATCATGGAATGCCAATTTAATAGAATAACGTGTTCTTGCATTGAGTAAGTACTTGAGTGGAGACACAATATCCATCTGCTGCCTTAATACTAAGCCTATATATGTATGCATGTAGATCTATTTCCCCACCCTCCTATATAAATATATTTACATAAGTACATGCCAGTATTTAGACCTCTATAAATACCCTTTGTCACCTAGTTCTTTCCTCTATTTCCTTTTACTTTCCTCTTGTCCCATTAACATGCTCAGCCTTCATTTGGGTTTCAGTAATTTTTCTCAGTTACATTGCCCTTGCTGAATCCCTACCAAACCTCTCACACCCTCCTCGCCACTGATTTTGGATCACTTGTTGCTCCCCTGTTCCTGGGTTGGTCAGCACCACCTCCTTACCCCTGCCTCCCCCTCTCCTGTGTCCCCCCCAGAACCATTGGTCCCGTTGTTTTCTCCTCCAGACTGTTCATCCAACCTATCTTATCTAGATAGATCTGTAGAGATAATAATATGCACCAAAAATCAAGCCATCGCAAGCTAGGCGATGAATGAGAACACAGAGATGACAACAAAAACGAAAACCAATGACCTGTAAAAGAATAAATTAATTAAAAGAAAAATAAATTTAAAAAAAAATCCTGTAAATAGATCAAGGTCTGATTTTGATCTCTAGGTGTGTCGTTCAGTCAGGTATGAGGGGGTGCCATGCTCTGGCCCCAGAGTCTGTCTTTTGTACTCCTTCGGGGGCTTCCTCCTCTGCTCCCACGATTGCTGTGCCGCACGCCTTTAGTGGTTTGCCTCAGTGTCACGGGGTCAGTCTGGACTAGTCCCGACACTGAGTTTCCAGTGTTGTCCCCTTTAGGGCCCTGGGCCAGCAAGGGACAGCGTGTCTGGTAGTGGGATCAGCCATATGGTCCACTGTGTGCATTGGCTGTTCAGAGTGGGGATATCGTCCTCCAGGCCTGGTGGGCCAGGATGTGCTCCACTCTCACTTCCCCTTCATTTGCTCCTGTGTGCTCTGATCAGACATGCCCCTCTCCCCTAGCTCCAGCTTCAGTGCTGTCCTCTAAAGTAAATTCTTGTGGGGGGAGGGGCATTTGTCCACATAGCTGGTATGGGGGCCGAGTCCTCAGGCTCCTCCACTGGCTCCTCACTCTTTGCCGGCACGCTGCATTCGTCTGGCACTGGCTTCAAGTTTGGATCATCTTTCCATGTGGAGACACAAACAATACCCTCCCCTTGGGTAGGTCAGTGCCCTATTCCCCTGCCACACATCTTTTTTTTTCTCTTTTCCTCCCCCCCACCCCCTTTTTAGCTGGCTACCATATGTACCCCTGGATTTGGTCTGGCTCCTGCCATACACCTGGACCTCACCTCTGGAGTGTTTATATACAGTAGCTTTTTCCCTGTTCCCCTTTTGCATTTACTTTTCTGTTCTTTCTTTTTTTGTTAATATAAACTTACCTCAGCGGACTCATGTTATACGTGTCCTTTTTCGCTTGGCTTACTTCACTTAGTATAATTTCCTCCAATTCTTCCCATGCGGCGATATGCTTCATGCGTTCATCACTGCTTTTTAGTGATGCATAGTACTCCATTGTATGTATGTACCACAGCTTTTTAATTCATTCATCTGTTGCTGGAAATTGGGGTTGTTTCCAACTCCTTGCGATTGTGAACTGAGCCACAATGAACATTGGAGCACAGATGTCTGGCCGTGGTTTGTTTCTTGCCTCTTCTGGGTATATGCCCTGTAGTGGGATTGCTGGGTCGTATGGTAACTTGATTTCCATCTGTTTCAGATATCGCCAGATTGATTTCCATAGTGGCTGTACATACCTACAGGTCCACCAGCAGTGGATGAGACTTCTTGTTTCCCCACATCCCCTCCAACACTTGTTGCTTTCTGATTTTTTGAATTGGGCTATCTTTGATGGTGTTAGGTGGTATCTTATAGTTGTTTTGATTTGCATTTCTCTTATGGCTAATGATTGGGAACATTTTCTCATATGTTTATTGGATTTCAGACTCTGAAACTTCTGTTCAGGTCCTTTGCCCACCTCCTCAGTGGGCAATTAGTTTTTCTCTTATTGTAAGCTAGCAAAGTATTGTAGATTTTAGTAATAAGGCCTTTGTCTGATGTGTCATTGCTAAAGATGTTTTCCCAGTTGGTGGGCTCTCTTATTATTCTCTTGGTGACTTCTTTCAATGTACACAGGTGTCTTATCTTCAGTATGTCCCACTTGTCTATTTGTGACTCCTCTATGTTTGTATCCTTCCCTATTTCTGATATCCTATGTATTCCCTATGCCAAGGTTCTCAGGTTTGTCCCAATTCCCTCATTAATGGCCCTAATTGTTTGGGGTTTTATCTCAAGGTCTGTGATCTACCTTGAATTTATTCTTGTGCATGGAGTGAGGTAAGCGTCTTGCTTCATTTTTCTGTAGGTAGATATCCATTTTTTCCAGCATCATTTATTCAGGATGGTATCTGCTTCCCATTTAATATTTTTGGGGGCCTTTATCAAGGTCAGCTGCCTGTGTGCTGATGTTTTTATTTCTGGGTTTCCAGCTCTTTTCCATTGGTCTGACTATCTGTCATTTACCAGTACCACACTGTTTTGACTATGGTAGCCGTATAGTACGTGCTAAAGTCAGGTAAAGCAAGCCCTCCCACTTTGTCCTCCTTCTTAAGGATTTCTCTGCTAATTCTGGGTTTCTTCTCCCTCCATATGAAGTTGGTAATTTGTTTCTCCAATTCTTTGAAGAAGGATGGTGGTATTCGTATCAGGATAGCATTGAACTTACAAAGTGCCTTGGGCAGAACTGATATCTTTACTATACCGAGTCTGCCAATCAACAAGCATGAGATATTCTTCCATTTGTTGAGGTCACTCTTGATTTTTTTGTAGTACTGCTTTATAATTTTCCTCATACAAATCTTTCATTTTTTCAGTCAGGTATATCCCTAGGTATTTCAATTGGTGCTTGGCTATTGTAAAGGGTACTACCTTTTTAATCGTCTCTTCTGTGATCTTGTCTGATGTGTAGAGCAGTCCAGTAGCATTGTTTTCATTCTTACAGTCATTGTTATTAGGGCTGTTTCCCTTGTGTTGACATTTGTGCTTAGGGTTCACAAATAAGAATGGGTAAAACTGTTGGGTCTTTCAGCATGCATCAAGACACAGGTTCCTGCTAATGGGCTTTGGCCACTGGAGACCCCATGCAGAGAGTCTTGGGGAGGAGACGAGCCAGTCAGGGTGCGATGTAGCAACGATGAAAAATACAACTTTCCTCTAGTTCCTAAATGTTTCCTTCCCGCTCCCACTATCATGATATGAATTCTACCTTGCAAGTCTGGCTAGACCAGAGGATGTACACTGGTACAGATAGGAACTGGAAATACAGGGAATTCAGGGCGGATGATCCCTACAGGACCAGTGGTGTGAGTGGTGATAGTGGAAGGGTAGAGGGAGAATGGGTTGGAAAGAGGGAACCGATTACAAGGAACTATATGTGACCTCCTCCCTGGGGGACGGACAACAGAAAAGTGGGTGAAGGGAGACGTCGGACAGGGCAAGATATGACAAAATAATAATTTATAAATTATCAAGGGCTCATGAGGGAAGGGGGAGCGGGGAGGGAGGGGAAAAATGAGGACCTAATGCTGGGGGCTTAAGTGGAGAGGAAATGTTTTGAGAATGATGAGGGCAATGAATGTACAAGTGTGCTTTACACAATTGATGTATGTATGGATTGTGATGAGAGTTTTATGAGCCCCTAATAAAATGATTAAAAAAAAAAAGACACTAGGAAAAAGTGTAATTTTCACTTTTAGATTTTAAAAAAATGTCATTTATGAAGAAACAAAAAGTATCAATTACATCTCAACCCTTAAATACACATCTTTTGATATTCTATATAAAAAAATGTGAAGTACCTCAACACATTTCTGTTACATTCCAAAATATAAGATATCTCAGGGAAACACTTTTACATAGTTGTGTGAGTTGTAAGCTGGACTAGCTGTTTGTTTCTCATGGAATACCATTTTCATTTGAAATATTGTGAGGTTTAAGAAAGTTATAACTAAAGATTTTGCTGGTTTAGGAGGCTTCACTCTGTGTTTCTTGCATTAACCATAACATTTTTTGGCCATTAAATAACAGGAGAATGTCTAGATCATTTCAAATTGTAATTAAAATCTATGTGTGTATATTAAAAATAGAAAATGAATTGGAAGCAATCAAATTTACATTAGAGTTTATATTAAGATTTCTCATTGATGAAAAAAAAGAAAGTAAACTGTTCAATAATGCTTTTGAACCCCATGAATTCTGAGTTGTTTTCATGGTTTGATGTTCCGTTTTAGGTGCCCATCAGTTGACTTCACCTCCTTCTCAATCAGAGTCTCTGCTTGCCATGTTTGATCCACTGTCTTCACATGAAGGTAAATTAGCGAACTTTATGATTTGTGTCTTCCGCATGAACAGAAGAAAAAAAATCAATACCTTTTGTTTATGTCCTGTTGGGTCACTTTTGTCTCAATTTCAAAATTCTTTTTCTGTGTTCAAGGGCCTTCTGCTGTGGTAAGGCCAAAGGTTCACTATGCTAGGCCATCCCATCCACCACCGGATCCCCCAATCCTGGAAGGCGCTGTGGGAGGCAATGAGACCAGGCTGCCAAACTTTGGTTCACATGTTTTAACTCCTGCTGAAATGGAGGCATTCAAGCAAAGGCATTCTTACCCAGAGAGACTAGTTCGCAGTAGGAGCTCTGACATAGTATCATCTTCTCTCCGGCGTCCCATGAGTGACCCCAGCTGGAACCGACGTCCAGGCACTGAAGAGCGAGAACTCCCTCCAGCTGCAGCCATTGGTGCTACTACTTTGGTGGCTGCACCTCACTCATCCTCTTCATCCCCGAGTAAGGATTCCTCAAGAGGAGAGGTATGGGACACAGGCCATGTGGGAGAATTTGTTAATTATGGTTGACTGTAGTGTTTTAGCTGCTTAGTTCTCTTGATATCTGGAATTAAAGTAGAATATATAAATCTAGTTTTAAAGTTGACTAATAGTCATGACTAACGAGATTAGCAAGCCTAATATATGTCCATGATCATAACCCAGAGGAAACCTATGCAACTTTGATTTTATAGTAATAATATTTCACCTTTTGTGATTCTTTGAGCAACTTTAGATCTAAGTTCATTTAAACCTAATGGTGTCTCTCTCATATGGTTAGATGAGGTAGCACTTTCTTTTGAAACAATCACAGAGTTACAACAAAATTGGAAGAATAGTACAAATAACTTTTTTCCCTCCACCATTTGAGAGTAAATTTCCTGTACAATGTTCTAGATTTTCCATCATCTCTGGTCATAGCACAATCACCCAAATCAAGAAATTGACATCACCACATTGCTGTTCATAGGTGCAGTTCAGTCCGTTCCCATTATAGTCACCCTATGTACAAAGGTTGTTCTCATGGTTTGATCAGACCCTTGTATGTAAACAGTGTCCCTTCCCCACTGCTAACATTTCTCAGGTAGAGATGACTTTGTCTCTCCGCTTAGCTGCACGGCATTTGGTAGATGCAAAAAATAGACAGTCACATGAGAGATTAGTTAGGAAATAATAGTCCAGGCCCTTTGACTTGTGGTCTTAATAGTTTACAATGTTAAAAAGAACTTCCTGGTAGTGCCTATCTTTCAAGTCTGCTGTGAGGACTAAATGAAATCATGTATATTCTTACTCTCTGTGTTTAACATATACTTTGATTTATTATTAATACTCTTGTCACCATCTCTACTACCAGTGTTTATTTGTATTGCATTTAGCCAGTTTTTAAAATATAAACTTTATTTCTTAAAATAAGCTCCGTCAAAATCAAGAGACATTTGTTATCAATAACACTAGCCACTTAGTCCATCCTAAAGAACTGAGGGTCCAGGACATCAAACTATGTCTATCATTTTTAAAAAACATTAACTGAGAATAAAAAAAGGGACAAGGATTAGGACCAGAATTGTAAAGTATATGCTTAATGCTTTCCCATTGAAACTCACTAAATGGCCTTTGTTTGATGAGAGGAATGAGAAAGGAGTATTTTGGTGGAGAAGGGCTGTCTGGTGAAATTATTTAAGGTGCTTTTCCACTCAAATGTTAGCTGCCTTTCTTAAAATATACATAATAAGCTGATATCATTCTTTAGTCCTCCAAAAAGTCAATAAGACACAATGCTTTGAGCATCCCAAGAAACTGTTGCCATGACCTTTGTTCTTTTCCAGTCTGCTTTTGCTTTGACTAGACCACCTATTTCTCTTGGAACCATTATCCATTAAGTGTTCATAGAGTGTCTATTGTGTACGAGGCTCTTTTCAGGCATTGGGCTAACTAAGAATAATGAGATAGTGCTTACTCTGAAGAAGTTCACTGTCTGATGCTTTTTGTGTGTGTGTGTTATTTTTAATGATAAAAAGGGCACAAGAATAAAAACCTGATAATTCACTTATATTGCATAACAGGCTAACCAAACTGGACATGGATGATAAATTATAAAACAAATCATTCATTTTACTTCTTGTTTCTAGACTTTTTAAAATTAATATTTGTCTTTCAAATAGGACTGAGGTAAAAAGTATACTTCTCTGTTTTTAGAAGTCATCTACATGGCAGTAAGAGTAGGTTTTATGTGTATTTCATATTTTATTAGTATCTGATTAAAGTTTACAGAGCAAATTGGCTTTCCACACAACAATTCGGACCTTCTTAGTTTCTTCTCAGGTGGCATTCCTGGGCTGTAATGGCACTCTTCCTCTTTCTTCCTTGTGTTTCACCTTTCTGTTCTATTCTATCTCTTTTGAACTTTATCCCTGAGCAAATACTGCCCTTTTGATCTCCTATATCTCTGATGAATGGGAGTCATTATTAATTTAAGGCAAAGGGTGGTTTTTGCATTTCTTAGACTTACTGAAATATTTTTCAAAGTAATTTTATTCTGCTACCCAAATAAAGCATGAAACTTTTTCTACAGACTGAAGAACGCAAAGATAGCGACGATGAGAAATCAGACAGGAACAGACCATGGTGGAGAAAACGTTTTGTTTCTGCTATGCCTAAAGGTAATTTTATAAAAGTATTAGAATTCTGCTTTCATAACAAGAAGCAAAGTCCTAAAAGCAAAGTTCCTCTGTTAGGCTTGCTGGGCCTAAATTTCCAGTTGTGTTTAGGGTATGAAAATGGTTCCACAGAACAGATACTAAGGCAGAACTTTAAAAATGACAAATCTTGCTCCTTGCAGGAAGTGGTGGTAGTGGTTTCAGTAATGGAAATCATGCCAGGTCACGGTGCTTAAATATTATATTAGCAGCTAAGCATTCTATTAATTACTGCAAGAAAAATGGATGTTATTGGTAACTAAACATTGAAAAGTCATCCTTTATATACCTGGAATAGAGTTAAATTGTAAATATCTATGTTTAATGAGAATGTTTATACTCTAAATGTCAGTGTTTATATTGGAAGGCAGTTGTATACAATTGTTTGCTTTTATTTTGTGAATAGCCTGCTCTCTTGTCAGTAGATACTGAGATTTGAGTTGGCAAAAAACATCTCTTCCTGAGGGGAGAGCACATACAAGATGATAGCTAGGGATGTCTTCACACAGCCTCTTGGGCGCTGAGGAGCTGAGGGAGCGCTCCTTTCACACCAGACTCAAACCCACTTGATGAGGAGGAGAGAATGATGCTCGGAGTTTTGAATGTGTTGTTTTTGAGCAGAGATTAAGAGGCAATGGTTTTGATTTATTTCCAGCTGATTCCTATTTTTCTTGACCCTAAACCAGATTTTGAAAGCTAATTTAATAACAGCTATTGCTATGTTAAGAATTATTGCCAATTGACGCTCCTTATTTCTTTGCTTTTAAAAATTTTGAGCTCCTTTCACTTAGAAATGTTGGCACACCAGTAACTCCAAAATGACTGCTGTCTTCCGAGGAGTGCAGTATGCTGTATGTCACACTACTGACTTTATTTAATTTCCAGCTCCTATACCATTTAGAAAGAAAGAAAAACAAGAAAAAGACAAAGATGATCTGGGGCCTGACAGATTCTCAACACTCACAGGTTTGTAGATCCATGGACTTCCTGGCTCCTTCATTCCCAGAGCACATATTTCATAACACTTCTTTCTTGGGTGCCATAAGCGTTGCCTTTTAGAAGAGTGCGCGTGCGTGCGTGTGTGTATGTGTGTGTACAGTGGGGAGTATGTTCTTCATAGCTCTGTGGTTTCTGTTTGGCGGCCACAGTGAATCTCAGTGTGCTCTTCCTGCAGA